CCAACCAGGATTCCCTGGGGGGGGTTTTTGGGGAAACATTTCAAACCGGGGGGTTTGCCCCTTAAAGGTTTTGCCTCCAATCCCCTGCCGGGGCGGGGGTTTTGTTTCTGGGGGGGCCCCTGTAGGGGTATTATCACCCCCCCCCCGGGGGGGGGTGGACGCCGTGTCGGAGGAATTTTCTTTCGAGGGGGGTAGAAGGGCACCTAAAAGGAAACGAAACCGGGGGCCCAATCCTGAAAACAGGCGTCCCCCGGGGGGGGGGGGGGGGGGGGGCATGCCTTAGCGGTTAGACCATTGACCACGCGTCCTGGAAGAGGGGGTACGGGCTCGACGAATTTTTATTGAGCTGCTGGCCGGGCGCGTACGCACACGGGAGAAATGCCGTAGGGGGGGGGGACGTACTCATTTGTTGCTTGCCGTTGTCATTTGACCATTGACAACGCGTCCCTTTCGAGACGGAGCACCGTTCCTACCCCTACTAGAGACACCACCAACATTTGGGAGCTCTTTACGTTTCTGCCACAAACTACATAAAAAATTTCTTGCACATCTTATCCCCGTCCTCTAGGGCCTCTTGTGCCCACCATCTATCCCCAATTATCGCGATCGTTTTTTCGCTGTTGTCTAATTTACCAAACTTGTCCATGTCACACCCTCTCTGTCTCATTTCCTCCTCGAAATCCTCTCTTTCCTTCCTGTACAACTCACACTCCCCAACTATGTGGGGTCTACTCTCCTCTGATTTGCCACATGGACATGTGTGTCTATCCTCCTCTTCCTCTCTCCTACGGCTGGTATACCTCTTCCTCCATTCTGGCAAGTCCAGATCGCCTACTCGAAATCGCAATTTCAGCTTTTTCGCGTAGTCCATGGGGCCGTCCAAGTACGTCTTCATCCCTATCCCTTCTTTCAACTTCCCGTATATCTCCAAGTGGTCTTCGCTTCGTACCTTCTTCCGAAGGGTTGCCTCCTCCCTACTTTCTAGCATCTCCTTGACTTTCGTCTTGAACCCCCCGAACCCTTCCGTGTCCAACGTCTCCTCGTCTCCTATCTCCTTCCAAACCTTCTCTACCACCTTGCCCCATCTGATTCCCTTCTTCCCTGGAGTCGCTTTTCCCCAAGTTGCCTTGTCAACCATGGCTGGTAGGCTATCGTCCGACATTCTACTTACCTTGTACTGCCACTTCAACTTCTGCATGTCTCTCTTTGTTTTAAGAGAGTACATTCCCAATTCTGCTCTCAATACAGTGTTGCTCGTTGTACTTGAACATCCTAGTATTTTCTTGGCCGCTGCCATCTGCACCATTTCCAGCTGCTTGACGGCCTTTTCGTTACCTTCCCATACCTCTCCTGCATACTCTAGCTTAGGTACAATCACATTCAAGAGAATACACCTCTTAATCCTAGTGTCTAGGTGTGGGTCCGTAAGGATCTCGTCCATCTTGCCTATCTGAGCTTTACCCTTCCCAATCAACTTCGCTATGTGTGCGTCCCACGAGCACTCCTTCGAAATCTCTACTCCCAGGTACGTATACTTGCCTACTACCGGTAGTTCTTCCTCCCCCCATTTCCATTTGAATTCTACGGGATTTTTCTTGTCTTCGTTACAGACCAATACTGCGCATTTTCCTACGTTCGCCGACAGTCTCCATTTTCGGGTGTATCCTACCGCCGCATCTATTTGTTCTTGCAACCCTTCTGGTGTTTCGGATACCCCCACGAAATCATCTGCAAACATCAGTCCGGACACACTCTTTCCCCCTAATTGGACTCCCTGTCTTACTGCTTCAACCGCCCTTATCAAATCGTTGATGTAAATCTTAAAAAGAGTGGGTGACATCGTACAGCCCTGTGCGACTCCTTGGAGTATATCCACGTACTTCGAAATTTCCCCATCCAACATCACCGCACTCCTTGTGCATTCTGTCATCTAATGCCGTAGGGGGGGGGGGGGGGGGGCAAAAAAGAAAACTCAAAAGGGGGATTTTTTCGGGGAGGGGGGAAAAAAAACTTTGTGCGGACCTTTTTCAACGGGTTTTTGGGGGGGGGGGGGTTTTCCCGGAACAGAGGGCCAAACCCCCCGGGCGCGCCCAGGAAAAACCCCCCCCCCCCAAAA